AAAATTTGGGTACATGTCGCCGAAGGATAGACAGGATTTTGTGCAAAACAATCGGTTGTGTTTTACCTACACATCCAGTAATTAAATGTTGGCAGTCGTTAAGCTGCAGAAAATGTGGAAGAAGACATCATATATTATTACATTTCGAGCGAGAGAATAAAGACAGTAATCAAGACAATAAACCAGCCAGTGAGATTGCAGTATTAATTAATGAATCAAAGGAAGGTAAGGCAAGTACATCGCAAGGCGGTACACACATCACGGCGGCACTTTCCAGGAGAGAGGTAAAACCTAACAATGTACTTCTTGCAACGGTAAGAGTTAATGTAGTTAATAAAAGTGGCTGTAAGCTTATAATAAGAGCTTTACTTGACCAAGGGTCACAAGGCTCTTTTATTACTGAGGCCGCTGTTCAGTTGCTTGGTCTATCACGTACACGAATAAGTGGCTGGGTATCAGGTTTGGGAGATGGTCGTACTAGGATCAAACATATGGTTTCACTTCAGTTACAATCATGTCATAATCCACAAAATTCAATTCAAGTAAATGCTTATGTTTTACATTCATTAACATCTTTGCTTCCAGCTACTAATCTTGATAGCCCTAATTGGATTAAAATTGAAACTTTACCGTTGGCGGATCCTTCATATACAATACCAGGTAAAGTAGATATTTTATTAGGCGCAGATATTTACAGCGAAATATTGCTTGATGGAATAATAAAACAGCCTCAAGGCAATCTATTAGCTCAGAATACAATTTTTGGGTGGATTCTGTCAGGAAGAATATCCAAAGAAGTGGGTACATCGGCAAAGGATAAGCTTATTAGCATGCACGTACAGCTTAAGGAAGATGATTTACTTAGGCAATTCTGGGAGATTTAGGATGAACCGAATTTAATACAAAAGGAGATGACAAAAGAGTGAAAAGTTATGTGAAGAATTTTTTGATACAACTACAGTGAGAGATGAGGAAGGGAGGTTTGTTGTAAGGTAACCTTTTGCTTCAGATAATCCTAAGTGCCAGTACGGTGAAAGTAGAGATAGAGCTATTAAGAGATTAGGAATATTAGAAAAGAAGCTATCAAAGGATTCTCCAATGAGAGGTGAGTATAATAAGGTTTTTGAAGAATATTTGAGTTTTAATCACATGATACCAATATGCGAGAAAGAGTTAAATAGTGGACAAGCCTTTTATTTGCCTCACCATGCTGCAGTGAGAGAAGACAAGGACACTACAAAGGTGAGAGTTGTCTTCGATGCGTCAGGCAAAGGAGATAATGATGTGTCATTGAACGATGAGCTTCTCGTTGGGCCTAAATTACAACAAGATTTGAGGCACATATTAATGAAATGAAGAAACTATAAAATAGGCATTATCGCTGATATTGTGAAAATGTATAGAATGATACGGGTAGCTGATGAGGATACTGATTTTCAGCGAATTGTTTGGAGATTTAATTTAACTGATTCTATAACACATTACAAGCTATTAAGGCTTACATTTGGCACAGCATGTGCTCCATATTTAGCTGTCAAATGTTTGCAAAGACTGGCTGAATTAGAAGAGACAAAGTATCCAGTAGCTGCAAAGGTTACGAATCAAGATTTCTACATGGATGACTTGATAACAGGATGTGAAACATTAGATGAAGCACTACAAATATATGTTGAAATGAACGGGTTATTGAAGTCAGGCGGATTCGAACTTCAAAAATGGAGTAGTAATGATGAAACCTTTTTAAAACATATCGGAAAGGACGGTCAACAAGATGATCAGTCGCTTCTTGTTAAATTTAATAGTTCTATTAAGGTTTTAGGAGTTAGCTGGAACAGAGAAACTGATGACTAACTATGTTTTAAACTTGCCTGAACCTAAAGAACCTGTTACTAAAAGACAGGTATTATCCGTCGTAGCGAGATTATATGACCCTTTAGGTTGGATTGCGCCTGTAGTTATTAATGCCAAGATTTTAATTCAAAAATTATGGAAATCAGGTCTTGGATGGGATGATTGCCTGACGGATGATCTAGTTAGAGAATGGTTAATATACAGGGAAGAATTGAATGATCTTAAAGAGTTAACGATACCAAGATGGATCAATTATACTCGAAGTTCTAGAACTGAATTACATGTTTTTTCTGATTCATCACAACTGGCTTTTGCAGCAGCTGTATATATACGAATTATAGATCAATCAAATAATGTTTATGTACATTTGGTAACAGCTAAGACCAAGGTAGCTCCAATAGTAAAGAAAATTTTGAACAGACTTGAACTATGTGGGGCAACAATAGCTGCTAAATTAATATTTGAAGTATCACAAGTAATGATGGTTCCAAAGGAAAATTTATTTGGGTGGATAGATTCAACCATAGTTCTGGCATGGCTTAAAGGAGGCTCAAGTAAATGGACTACTTTCGTAAGTAACAGAGTATCTATATTAAGTATTTTAGATTTTGAGCAATGGGGTCATGTATCTACGGAATCAAACCTCGCGGACTGTGCTTCTCGAGGTTTGCAACCTAAGGACTTGATAACCCATCCATTGTGGTGGAGTGGGCCACAGTGGTGGTCACAAATTAAGTTTAACACAGAACATACAATTGTTGAAGATACCTGTGAAGAAATACGAATCAAATCTTTAACTGTTTTATCTAAAAATGAAGACGATTTTATTTGGTTACGATTTTCATCATTATCGAAATTGTTAAGAATAGTGTCGTACTGTAGAAGAATTTTGAGATTAAAATTACCAAAGAATGACCGACCAAGTTTACCTAAATTTATAACACCGATAGAAATGGATGAGACTTTAATGTCTGCGGCAAGTACAACAACGCGAATTTTTAATTGAAATAAAACAGTTAAGAATTGGACAATCTGTATTTAAGAAGAGTTCTTTACGCACTCTTGGTCCGTTTTTAGATCAAAATGGGCTACTAAGAGTAGGAGGTCATATAACACAATCAGACGCAAGTTATGACATGAGGCATCCAATAATAATACCTGGTAAAAGTCATTTTACCAAGCTTATAATTAAAGATGCGCATCACAAAACTTTACATGGAGGTCCTGAAATTATGTTAAATTTTTTGAGGACAAAATATTGGATTTTACGAGCTAAAGAACGAGTTAAGAAATATTACCGGGAATGTGTTGTATGCTTAAGATATTCCAAGAAAAAGGCCATTCCTTTAATGGGACTGCTTCCACAAGCAAGATTAAAACCTAGTAAGCCTTTTAAGTCTACTGGCGTCGATTATTGTGGTCCAGTAAATATAAGATTCTCGCCTGGCAGAGGAGCTAAATGTTACAAAGGCTACATATGCATTTTCGTGTGTATGGTTACACGAGCAGTACACCTAGAGGCTGTTACCAATTTGACAGCTAAAGGTTTTATTGCGGCGTTCAGGCGACTTACGGCACGAAGAGGTCACTGTCAAGACTTATTCAGTGACAATGGTACCAACTTTGTTGGCGCTGAAAAACACATGCGAGAAATGTTTGACAGTGCTAAATCATCACTACCTGAAGAAATAGCCGCTTTGCTTACCTTGGAACGTACAACGTGGCATTTTATACCTCCACATGCACCAAATTTCGGTGGTTTATGGGAGGCAGGTGTACGTAGCATGAAGACACATTTGCGAAAAGTAGTTGGAAACAGTACTCTAACTTATGAGGAAATGGCGACAGTTCTTGCGCAAATTGAGGCGTGTTTAAATTCGCGGCCAATATCTTTAATAAGCAATGATCCCAACGACCCTCTCCCTTTAACACCCGGGCACTTTTTGGTGGGTGAACCATTGTTAAACATAGCTGATGATAATTATTCTAATTATAATATAGTTGGTTTAGATCGATGGCGATTGACGCAAAAAATTGTTAACGATTTTTGGAATAGATGGTATAAAGAGTATTTGGTAAATCTAAACCAGAGGTATAAATGGAATACTAACTGTACAGAGCCAGAAATTGACGATATTGTAATTTTGAAAGAGGACAACATTCCTCCTGCTAAATGGGTTCTTGGTAGAGTAGTACGTAAATACCCTGGACCCGACGGTATAACTCGCGTTGTGTCTGTTAAATGTAAGGGTGGGGAATTTAAACGTCCAGTTAGTAAAATTTGTGTCATAACAAAATAAATATTTTATAACGTAATAAGTTTGTCCTCTTTCTTCAATCTTAGTTGTGTTTTAATGTAAGTTATTTTTTTTTCTGTTTTTACATGTATGTTTAACATTTACTTTCTTAAACATATTTTACTTAGCATCGTAATTGTTTTCAATTACTATACTTTAATAATTTACAGGCGTTTTATTGCTTTTTTTGAAGCTTCATGTGTTTTTTTTTCTAATAAGTAGCTATAACTTAAAGCTTTACTCATTAACTTTGTGGTAATATTACCAGTGCTAAAAGGAATGTGTGTTTCTATATTCACTAGTAATTTTATAATTTTTTTTGTTAAAGATTAAGGATAGCCATGATTTTATATTAAGCTCTTTGATTTTTTTTTGTTTGTGATAAAAGAACTGTGTTCTTTGGTGGGCGGAATGTTCAGTTTTGAATTTGTTTATTGAGATGTACGTTAAGTCAATACAGTCCACATATTATAACGCACAGCATTTGTACGATAGTTAGTCAGTCGAGAATAAATGATCGTAAGAAGTAGACGTTGTTTCAATTAAAAATAATCGTTCAAAGTAAAAGCGACCTTATTATAGAAACAGTCTGAAATTTAAAATGAAAATAAAAACGCTATAAAGTCCGCAATTACTTTTAATTTAACCATGTACAGTATTTACACGAAAATAAGACTAAAACACAAACTGAAAATCTCACCAAGAAAACACGTAAGCCATTGTTTTAACCGATCCATGAATCAGCCTATTGCAATCCAATGCTAGATCTTCGGCTTTCCTTATCCAGCCACTACCGACGAACTTTCACGAGCCATCGATCCACCTAGCAAGGAGCGTCCCACATTACGTTTACCGCCCCCGTCTCCTCCAACGCTCGTCGGCTCTACGACGGCTGTGGCTAGACCACTGCCACTTCAGCTTGCTACATTTCTGGAGTATATGCTCGTTGAACATGACCTTAGACGTGTTCAAGTTCATCCTAAAACCGACAGTGAGGCAGCATTCAGACTGCAGCATTTTTGCATGTCCTGCACCCATTTTACATTGTACCCTCCGGGGTATCAGGGCATAGTCCAAAACTAGACCCCACTGCGGATTGGCGGAATTCACATTTCTTCGAAATATTTCTTTTTGTTATTATTTCGAAAAATATGCCGGTTTCCTCACGACATTTTCCTTCGCCGCTGAGCGCGTGATAAGCCATCATTTAAAATTAACAAATTCGTTGGTGCTGGCACCGGGTATCGAGCTCGGGCTGCTCGAGTATGCTGAAAGGCGAGTGCCCAGACCCTGAGCTATAACGGCTTCCTTTGGCTATGACTGAATTAAATAACTGTTTTAGCTTTCTCGACCCTGCGGTTCTCGCTGCTTTGAGACGCTTTGTAGTAATTCCATCTTCACCGAGAGCCTTCCTATTTTTAATCTGTTTGAGAACCCTATCAATTTGGTCTTCCTCCACGTCCGAGAGATCGTCTGCAAAGTCGCGCGACTCTTGGGTCATTCGCGTCTGGAGGCTTTGAAGCATGCGAGATGTATAGGCGGCCGTAAAAGTCTTCTAGTAAACTTCGGTGAAGAAGCCCGGAACCGATGTGACGGTTTTGCCTTCCCAGGTTTCTATTTCTATTTCTATGTTTTTCAAACATTGCCCTTACTTTAGGATAACATTATCCTGTGTTGTAGGGACGTTTTTTACAAACAAATTTCACGCGAAAAAACACCCAGATGCGAAACAGGCTAAATCATTTTGAAATGAAAACACTCGTCGAGCGAAGATGTTTATTACACAACCTGTTCTTGTATAAACTTATCAACGGTGCATTGGATTGTCCTGAACTTTTGACACGTATTAATTTAGCAGCTCCCTCTAGATGGAAACGCATTAAAGTCAGAAAAATGTTTGCAATTCATCGGTCTAAAACGAATCTTGGCAATAACTTATCACTCAACCGTTTGTAAAAAACTTACAATAAATTGTCTGGTACTTATATGACCATAAACATTTTTAACGATTATAGACAAGTTCAAGAGAAATCTGTCCACTTACAGTTTTTCATTTAATTAGAGTAAATTTCTTCTTTATCTCTACAGTTTTCTTTTCTTTTTTTGTTATTTTGTTAAAAATTATGTTATTTTCTGTTTTGATTATATGTTTATTTTAGTGTAAAGTCAGTCAACTACTGTATTAATTCTTTGTTAGCACTTAGCATACTTCAATTATAACTTTTTTTATTATTCTTTTTTTAGCAGTTGTCAATATAATAACTTTTGAATGTCGTTTCACCTGTAATTGAGATACCATTTAGTTGAAGATACTATGTACTTATTTATGTTTTAAGCTTGTTTTGATGTGTATCTTGTTGGTGAAGTAAATAAATAAATAAAATAAAATAAAAATAAACAACTATCTGTGGGCCACACAAATAGTTGTCCCGTGTGGGAATCGAACCCACGACCCCCGTCGCCGAAGCCAATACCTTGGCAACGTCACCACGGAGTCATCAAAGCGCGAGCTTTGTCAGTTGGCTCCTATCCAGTCTTTTAGCAAAGAACTGAGTATCGCAACTTGCGGATATCTTTCTTGAGACGTTGGGGGTCCGACATTTCGACAGTTCCCGACGACATCTTACACTTTTTGCGCTTGCGCTTTAAGGTAAGTGCTTGGTTCCAAGCTTGCGAACTACCCTGGGTCCTTGTCGACATTTAGCGTGGTGTACAGTTCGGCGAAGCGATTGTGCAGTTCCAACTGAAACGCTTCGGAGCCATGTGTGGTTTGAATTGAACGAAGGTTGGACGGAGAACGGACCTTACCCTTCGAATCATAAGATGATATTATTTACTGACTCTGAAGTATATTATTTAGAGTGCCTCTTACAAGGCGGTGGTCGCTGGTATTAAACAAATTGACCACAGAGACATCCCCAAATATACGCTCCTTGTCCGTCAAGATGAAGTTAATCCCGTTCCTCGTCTTAGGTACCATCGGGGCTTCGCCACATCAGGTTCATTTCCTATGGGGCTTCTTGAAAAACCATTGCTTATGGATAAATAATAGTTATAAAAAACTAAAAAAACGCTTTTGTAGGCAGCGGTCCTAAAAAATAATTTATAATTAATATACCATAATTTATATTAATTTATAAACTTAAATTAGGTATCGTGTGGTAAAAAAAAAAATATTTTATTGTAAAAACGCGTGGAGTGCTTGATGTTAATTATAAATATTTTATTGATAAATATTAGTCAATAACTTAATTTTAAATATTTGTTTTGGTTCCTTACTTGAACAAAAATCTATATTTTATTATTATAGTTTAACGCGATAAAATTAGTAAACTAGTTTTATTTAATATGTATAATATTCGCGTAAAATCAAGAAATCAATATGTATACAATATGTATACAAGACTAACATGTAGACTAACATCTAACATGAAAACAATATGTATACAAGACTACATGTATAAATTAAATATTATTTTTACTGTTACCACTACCACATTTTTGGCGTCGAATGAGCACAGCTGATACGGAGCCCCACGTGCAGTTTGCAACAGGCTGTACAGCCGTTACCCGCTTCTACGTTTTTCTTATTTTAAGGGAGAATCTTAAAGCAAAACTAGCAAGGCGAATATAGAAAATAAATTTAATAATTATAATGTATTTTAATAATCATTTGAGTTTTAGAATCAACAACCTGGAACCGAATTGAATCCTGTTTCTTTAGAACAGTTGATCGTAATCTTATTGAAATTCTCCGTCTTAACAATAATTCGGGAACTTTCCCATTGAACAGGGAACACTTGGCGAGTAGAAGGGAATCGAAACACGCCGCTGCCGCTACGTCAGTGGGCCGGTGGTCGTCGCCGGTTGTGGGTGTGTACTGCGTAGAGCCCGTGCGAAGTTGCGTCGCGAACTCCGCAAAAAGTTTGCGAACAACGAGACGATGCAACCAGAGAGGCCGGTGCCACCGCGAGGCCAGGACGAATGGAGGCCGTTGTAAGTGGCACGGCGGTGCGGCGTCTCAGTTCTGCCCGTGTCCTTGTCACGTGATGTTTTTGTTTTCATTCCTAAGGACTATGTGAAACACATCGGAAACTTGGCCCGCAGAACAGTGCCAGAGTTTGTTAGTGTGGTGCGTGTTTGTTGAGCGGAGGGAGAGTGGTGTGATGGTTGTTTGTGGGGGGTTGGGGCGCGATGCGGGCGCGGCTGGTGTTAAATGGGCTGACGGCGGAGCTGGGCTCGGTGGGGGCTGCGCCGCCAGCCTCGCCGGAGCCCTACCACGAGCTGGAGCTGTACCGGCAGCTGCTGGCGCTGCCGAGGCGCGCCAGGACGCCGGACCCCGCGCCGCCCCAGCGCGGTCCGTACCCCATTCGCTGTTGCTATTGACTCTCTACTGCTCAGGCATAAACGGCCCGCTCGGCGAGGCTCCTCTGTCCCATAATATAGCATTACTTCCGGCGACAGCATTCTGCAACACTTCCCGTGCTGTAAACGTCCACGGATAATTTTATCCGATTATCCATTTACCTACATAAATAAAATGTCTACATTTTCCGAAGCGAGTTTGACCAACGGTCAAATAGGTTTAAATAAATTTATTAAATTTAAAATTCTATTTTTCTCCTGAGTAACTTGACTATATCATAAAAGAAAACATACGCGAAAATTACTTACAACTTACCTCTACTACTTTTGATATTTTCTTTCGGTAGGTAAGTCAAAAAATTCATTTTGTTAATAAATTAAGGTGCCTTAATTATTTTTGAATTTTTAATAGAGACTTACATTAGTTAGGAAGTTAATAAGCTCAAACTTCGTAGAAGGATATTCGTCATGTTTGTAATTTCGCTTGGAGTTTTCAAATATATTATTCTTCCTTTATCCACGAGTTTTTGCCCCTCCATGACTATCAATCAAACCAATTACTAATTCCGTTCAAAACTTTTTATAGACACCGCTTCATTAGGCCGTATATTACTGGCGCCATAACCATAACAAACTTTGTCAATCTTTCTTAGAAAAGTCTTTCTTAGAAAAATAAGTTCGATAGTCTACTTGTTCTTAAAAAGCTATAGATTATTTTCAACACGAGCATTCGATATATTTTCTCTCTGTTGTCTGAAAATGCTTACTTTTGAACAAAGGCGTACCTAACCCTTGATTTGTGCTATAGTCCGGGAGCGCGCGAAATCGATAATTAAAAACAGGTATAAACAATGTTTTTTTTTTAAATCAATTTGAAGGAAACAAGTCACGAAAACATTGTTTTTATACTTTTATACATATGCATTACATTGAAGCCGAGTGTAAAGTTACATTTTGATGTTTAGCATCCATCGGACGGGTTATATTTTATAACTATTATATGAGAGTAATATGTGAAGAACACTGTGCGGATAGTGCGGTATTATTAATATCTGACGTAAGAAGTGAAATCATAACTTACATTGGGTGATGGGTTTTCTTTTTACTAGTAATGGAATAATTCAGGGTGTCTCCATAAAATGTATAATTGTATAGATAATTGGTGAATCTTGACACATTTTTATCGACGGGAAAAATAATAAAGAAATGATCTTTCCTTCAACAACATGGTGGACACTGAAAATCTCATGCTATAGTTTTATAAATATAGTTTTAAACAATAATAAGAATAAAAAACATTTTCCCTTACCTCTTTTCTTTTTTTATTTATTTTTTTTTTATTTATAATTTATGTACACAGAGTTATCTTTGCATCAATTAACTTTCGATGCACAAGTTGCGATGAGAATAAATGGCAGTCTCAGGTGCCTTTGTTTAATCGATCGTGTGATATGTGCTTTGGATAGAGATAGAATAAAATAACGCACAAAGTGAACATAAAAAGGCGGAGCCAGAACCTCGGCCTTCGCTCCGCAACGGATCTCGCCCCTTCGCTTCGCTTGGCCTCGCGGGCTTGCGCCACTCAGGGGCGACATAGCGAGTGTTCTGGCGAAGCACGTGGGAGAGTCGCGAGGTTCCACAAGACCACATGGAGTCGGGGTGCTCTGTGTCGGATCTGTGACTCATTTTGAACCTAACTTAATTTACATAAAAGTAACTGATAAAACCTATCAGCTTGAGTTAAGTAAAGTCAAATTCAATTTGTATCAGTGTATATTTCACCAAGTAAGGGCCAGTTAAGGGCTTTTAATAAAATTTCTAATCGAGTTTCGAAATCGATATTAGCATATTGGCTGTATCATAATTTTTGATGCCTAATTGTATGTCAAATTTAAAACCAAAAGTATTTCCCGCTCAATTATTAAACAAATATGTATATACCTACATTATTGTATTAGTCTTATTTTATAATAAAAATTTATTCCAATCGGAATCAAATCGTTCAGTACTTTTTAATTTTTTGTGTTATCATGAATTCTTATAAAAAAAAATTGAATGTTTTAAGTGTGGACAAGACAGTGTTTTACGGAAGGTTTTTAAATGTGAAAATGTTGACAATAGTAAAATGGTAGATTGTCTTAGTAGAAACAACAAGATTTAATTATGTTTTTTCTCGAAAATTAGAGGTGACTACCGAATTCTACTTGTTGATTAATTCGTAAGTGATATGTCTCTTATTCTTATTATAAGGGTTGACAGTTCCCAATAAAAAAACCTGTTTAAGAACGCCAAAATAATTTTTTCTAACTTTTTAATTATTTTTCCCGTCGATAAAAGTATGTCACGATTCACCCATTTCCATATATACACTTATTGAAGACTCGCCCTATATTTATTAGGGGCGTTCAATAAAATTATCGTGATGAAGCGAGGCGATAACTAAGTTTAATCGTACTCACTTGAACAGAACTCGAGCGAAGTCTTGATATTGTGAATATATTATATGTCGCCTCTATATGTTTGGGCGACATTGGCGAGATGTGAACATCACAAACCTTACGCTGAAGCATGTGGCGATGAGGTACGCTTTTGGCCAGTGGTCGCTAAGAAGCTGAGAAAGAGAAGCGATCGCCGGCCAATTGGCCCTGGAGAAGAGGCTTGTTCACTGTACCAACGGCCGTCGATTGCGTAATCGTTCGCGCTTAGAGTTTGACTCGATGGTCTCGTGCGCAGATGAGCCGCAGCGTCGGTGCCGCACCCCGGCGCCCCCCGCTCCCACCGCGCCCCGCGCCCACGGCGGCCCCCGCACCCCCCGCGGCCCCCGCACCGCGCCCCCCGCCGCCACGCAGCGCGCTCACCGCCCAGCGCGCGCCCAGCCAAGGTGAGCCAAATAGATATAAGACTAACGTTGTTCGGACTACCCTCATCTTAACGATTTTAACACAATGCCCTTATAAACGTTATATACAGATAGTTTTAATAAGCTGTATCTTAACTTGTAACTGTCTTTGCATCGCGATTTTCCTACGTAATTTTCATCAACTCCGAGACATTCAAGTAATTTGAAAAGTTCGTCGCATTAATTTTTTTTACAAAGATTAATACAAAATTAAAATGAGCACCATAAAATGATGTATATTATGAGATAATTAAAAGATTACCTTTTTAATAAAGTTGCCTTGACTTATCAGTGACAATCTCTATAATATGCGCATTATCGATCTAACATGAAGAGCTGTGCCATCCTTGTCTCACCAGGTCCTTAAACTGGTGATAGCGTTGTGGTAACATCAATTCGAAAAAGTAGAGACGGTGAATCCATAAAAACTTATTATAACCGTACAGAAGTACGGCTCGTTTCAATTGTCGTCGAAAACTCATTTTATTTTTTGTATATATTATTATTATTTTATTTTTATATATATTTTTGATTTATGAGCACCTATATCACCTTTTTTTAAACTAAGGCTATACATTTCTGTAGAATGTGTTGTCACGCTGAACGGATCAGAAATTGTTTTAATCGTCCATACTGGAACTACTACTGTGAATAGTAACAACAAATAAAACTGTTTGCGGAAAGTTGCGTTCAACCACTTGCAGGGTTTCAATTGCGAGGAGGGTCGGGCGCTTCAGAAATTACGCGTAAAATCAATTACCCGTGCAGTGTGAAATTTGCTTTGTCCCAGGAAGTTTGCTTATTAGCGATTCGATTCTATGTTTGGATCGGTTCTTTATTGTTCTTGTAACGTGCCAACTTGGTACATACCGTCTTCGCTACGTATGTAAATAAAGACAATGTAATTACTATTATTTGATTTTTTTTAAATAGGTTATGAACTGAAATATGTACGAGACAACGGACTCAACAGGTACGGGCCGCGTATTTCAAATCTACATGTAATACGAAAATTTGACTTTTTACCAACATTATGTATTACGTGGCTAACCTTACCTTCGTTAGAACTAGATAGTGCTTAAGTAGCCTTCGATGATTTCGAAAAAGCCGAATGCTCGACGGTCAATCTAGAGTTACTAATGCAAGCCATCTCGCGAACATAGTTATCGAATCATCATCTCTCATCAAATCAACGAGCCGCCCTCTCAGAGGGGTCAATCCTCAAGGCTTCCTACCTTGCCCCCTATGTCCATCTCGCTCCAAACGAGCGAAATTTACCACTAGAGACCAGCAAGTCAGTTTTTCGCTTTTCGCGGATGACGCAGCCCTTACCTAATTTGGCCGGCCGAGTTACTATGCGCGTCCAAAGCGGCGCCGATCGCGTAATTTGTTAACTGTAATTGGTTCTGCAAATAGAGCATAGACGTCAACCCCGAGAAGAGTGTACACCAGCTACGTTGTTCTCCCGAGTCCGTGGGTCGTCTGCCCGCGGTATCCAACGAAGCTGCCTAAGCCGCCGGGCTAACAGCAAACTACACGTCACAAAAAATCTCATTTGCCACTTATATTAATATATATATAAATTAATATAATGTAGGAGTCAGAGCCTTTCGTTTCGGGCGGGCTTTATAAATAACGTCTCCAGTGCTTGCTTACAACTCATAATGTCTTACGTTTGTGTGTTTTTTTCTCAACAAACCCGCAAAAACTTCAAGTAATTCAAAATAGGTTTATATGCTTATGTTATCAACATAACGTCGACCAGCGAAGTGATGGCTAACTCCGGACTCTACGCGAATATTTTAAAGAGTTAACTAAACGGTTTATCGAAAGAGCTGAGAACTATACAAAACCAAAATAAACACCATCTACTGTTTACAAACTTTGCCCGCATATCAATTAACAGGTACAAAGTAGGTACTTTGGACCCTCTCGGTGAACAAAACTATTCCGACACATAATAATACAATCAATTAAAAAAAAGTTCTTTCCACCTGTAGGCATGGGGAAATCGAACCTCGGTGGCTCATAAGAGACCTAAGACCGGCGCCGCCCTACCCGTTGGCCCTCCGGCCCTATCAATCTGGCTATTGCATGCTCTCTGAGAACGATCATAGATATTTCAAAAACATATGTTAAAAACATATCTTTAAGTAAAAGTAATATAAAAAGTATACGCACATATATGGTTCTTGAGTATTCGCTGCAGGAATTAAAAATTTTATTTCAAGTCCCACACCTACCAAGTCCGGGGAGTAGCTAATACATAATATCTTTAAACATATATATACAATTGCGAATTGTATAACAGATATAAGACGTGACAATTTTAGCAATATATTCTCTTGTCTAGCGATAGCACCGCTCTGGTTGCAAGGAACGCGCTCGTCACGTGCACGTTCCGTGGGTCACGTGCACCATGCACCGTGGCTAAGCCCTCGCTACGGTAGCGACATGTTGTTAAGTAAATCATGTTAAACCGCGTGCTCTATTTGGCCTACCCTCTCCTCCGTACGGCCCCTAAGTTATTGAAAAGAAATTACAAATTGCCAAACGTGCATTATTATTTCTAATTCAGTATTCAATTACCAACCACTTTCCTTGGAAAATTTTAGGAGTTCGTTCACATTCTAAAGCCTTTGGCGATATGTCAACTATGATTGTGCAAATCAGAACACAAAGGAACGATGATGACTATTGATTTATAATTATTGCTGGCTTTTGTTTTGTAATTTAGTTTATAGCTTATAGGCACCCCATAAAACTTTCTACATATGTCTATTCATACGTATCTAGAATGGAAATAGACTGTTTCGCATAATGCGAAGGATACTTCGTAAAGGTAATGGTGAAATAACATGAGATTCATCGCCGCGATACATCAAAAGTATAACGGCATGCAATTTAAGGTGCGGCCACCTCCGCTCCGCGTGCTCTCCCACTGCACACAACGGATCCTCATTCGTACAAGCGTGCGCGTTTCCCTCTTCAACGAATTATGGTTTATTGTAGGTGAAAATTTACTTCGGAAATTTTAACTATAATGCAAAGCAAGAAAAGACATTCACAATAGTTTGGTTGATTCGACTACGCAGTCCGTTTTACCTTATATAAATGAGTTTTAAATAAAGTTTGGCATTCCGCAACACTTCATGAAATTATAAGGTACATAAATACAGCGATAAAAAGGAAATCCTAAATTTATGATTACGATTGTTCCTCCATAACTATATTAACTATTACTGTCTGTATGGATAAACTTATGGAAACTTAAGCTTATAAGTTATGCAAATCTCATAACGCATGCTATAAATGATGTTGTAGAATATAATAGATGGATATGTACATTGGTTTTATATGAGTTAGCGAATTTTACGTTGACTGGAATTTATGCAATACGTTTGAGTGAACATTAGCATAAATTTGTTAATGCATTCAAGATTAAAACTATCTAAAACTAGCTGCTACCCGCGACTGCGTAGAATAGGCTGAAGGCGTAAAATTCAGACACAAAGATAGATACTTATACATAAAATATGTATATTATAGCCTATGTTTTATTCTGATGTAAAAACTTATTGTAAAGTATCATTAAAATCCATTCTGTAGTATTTGCGTGAAAAAGTAACAAACACCATCCATACATACAAACTTATGGATACGCGGGGATTGATATATCTAATAAATCAATCCACGCGGCATGGTGCCTAGCTGCACGCTAAATAAAACGAAAAATTAAAAAATTATGAGCTTAAATTAAACGATATACAAACTTTGTTCTATGTGATGCGAGCATGGTGATCTGCGATAAAAGCATCGTCATGTAAAATTTGTGCTATTAACTCGCTGTCGAATCTCGCTTTCTTAAAATGGACGGGTTGTTGCTATCAACATATACAATTAAGAGAAATAGGTGAAAGTTTCCTATTTCGTAATCGAGTTCTGAGCAACATATTTACTCAGCATGTAGCATTGTGTATCGGGGGAGGTGGTGACGCGAGTGAATTGCACTCTTGGTCCGCGTCGAGTGTTGCACCTAGCAGCCGCTTCATAGCCCGCGCGTCTGATTCCCAGTGAATGCCAGGGCTGCTCTCACTAGAAGCTCCACTGCAGACTTGTATTACGATGCTCTGGGTAAAGAAGTGTGTGCGAATGTAATTATTTCTCACAACTTTACATCCACCGCGGGACAACGTGTCCTGAAAATAAAGAATAGAAATGAAGCCTCATTTAAATAATCAGTTCTAGAGCAAGGTCCTTGCGGCGCCTCTTGCTCTGTCCTTCGCCTCGACGTTGAATATTCATATGCACATGCATGTAAATTAGCTTGCCGGGCTAAAGATATTAAAGAAGAACAAGTTTCATGTTATGGTTCCAATTTACAAGTATTGTGACTGGTCATAGAAATACTATATTTTGTAATCTTTGCTCAGATCCCGGTGCCTACAAAAATGAAATATGCAGTTGCAATTTTGATTTTAGATTAAATAAACACTTAAGAAATTGGATTTTAGAAAGTAATTTTTTTTATAGTGCACTTAAGATTAAACATTTAAATTTGTAGAAAAACTACGAAAACATTGTCGCCGCTGTTGGAATTCAACACGGCTTTCGCGGCCTGATGCTTTAGCCACTAAACTAAACGGCTGATTGCCACACCAAGCATTGTTTACCAAATTCTAAAAAACAACGGGTTCGATTCCCACAGCGGCGACAATCTTCGTACTTTTTCTACAAATTTTAATGTTTAATCTTAAGTGCAGTGATTAGCACTATAAAAAAATTTAAAAAAGAATATTAATCGTGTAATTAAGAGGTTATGTTGTGTGGTTGCGCAAAACAATGCATATTTATGTGATAGCGGCAATCGCGGTTGATTTGCTGTCTTTATTTGAAAAGTATTGTTGTCTATCTCCGAAAAACATCATCAGATTTATATAAATTTTTTTTTATTCGAATTCCCCTGTATGAATTTCAATGTGTTTAATACTATATGTAACAGGAGCGTAAATTATAATATTGTTTAAGTTTTTTATTATTTGGAAAGATGCCTTATGATGGCAAGAAAGATGCTTTTTTTTAGACATTATAAGATGTTTTAGACATTCATCATTAGTGAATGTCTGTGAATTGAATACATACTTTTCTCTTGAAAAGATTCGCCGACAATTATTTTGGTAGCGGTCGGCTTTCAAGGAAATGGAAATAGGTTCAAATGAATTCTCTAGGTGTCTAGAATAATTTCTTGTGTTTATATTATAGGAAGTTCTAATAAGAAATTTACAAAATATATGTCATCGCGGGGCGGACATAATTTCAAAATATATGAATAATACTTCAGATGTCGATTTTAATGACTTCACTGGATTGAGTGTAATTAGTAAGGTTGATTTTAATAAATGACATTTACGTAAGTTTAATAAAATTTTAGCGTTACAAACAAATAAAATGCAATTAGCCCATGTATCCACTCGGACATATGGACAAGAAACATTAATATACCTACTTCTATTATATAGCGCGTATGCCACATTTTTACAAATGGTTCATTAAATTTTGTAGAAAAATAATTCATTCTAAGATAGAAATAAATATGAAATGTAAAGAAATGGTTTATTCTACAATACTTTTTTACTTAAACATTGCGAAGAAAACAATGTAGATAAAATATATTTTTACACGTTTGTAGAGCCATGCATCGGCGTTTGCTGATGCTGAATTACGCCGGCTCAACCGTGAAAGTACATATACTACGGTCTCACAGAATATCGGCGTAAAGTAAAAGTATTTATAGTTTTGTTTTTCCTCCGGTGATTGCCCCAATATCAGCGCTACTAATTGTACAAAAGATTTAAATGTTATTTTTGGCGCTACAGGATTCAAACCTGTGTCATTTTGGTAACGTGTCCAGATGTTACCCACTGAGCTAAGCGACCGTTATTACGAAATTTCAATATATAAACTACATAACGCTGATAATAATGCTGCATTTTATTTGCTCACGGTGTAATCTTTTATGTGATAGGATTCTATAAAATAGAATTTATTGTTCAAATAATAATAGGTTGGCATGCGATCAGCTGTTTATATGGAAACTATGTTCTTTATGTCAAAAATATATATCACAGTAGCACATCTATTACGTTTATGAACAAAGTTGCCCTTTATTTTAGCAACAAACCACAATAAAGACAAAACTTTTGTCTGTTTAATAAAAAGAGGTTTTTAGAGCTAAAGGTTTTTAATACCTTTTTTGTTATTTACTTGACTTTATGGAATCGTTAAATCGAAATAATATTTAACAACTCTTCGAATGATTTTAGTAGTTGGTTTAGTCTGAGATTTACCACAACGCCCAACGTTACTATGATTTACAATGTAAGCTTATGGCTAAGGCATATACTACTGCGGAATATCTTGACGACGCCAATGTGTGGGGTTAATACTGTTGATACTCACGTAGGCAAAAGTAAGACATAAGACATATGTTCTATTATATTGTAAATTAATAGTATTCAAAAAGAGCAACTGACTGTTTTTTTGCCGGTTTCTTCTCAACAGAAACTGCTTTCCGAATCGGTGGTAACTTATGAACGTATTAATTTTTATGTAAAATTTTGACATTTCATAAGAACGTGTAAGCGTCTATGTGAATAAATATTGTTAGGAAATAGAAACGATGATTGATTTTTTTTTAAAGAACTTATTGGCCAGTAGGCCAAACTTAATAGAAGTTTCACTATGATTCAAAGTAACCGACACAATCGTTATTAATTAGCGTAGAGCTACCGCGCTCTACAACGGCCGATGAGAAAGTCCCTTGACACGGCGAGCGCTGCTCCGTTTATAGGCCGTCGCAGTGTGCTACTACCCTCCTATCTTCTAACAATATATTATTGATTTTTTTTTGAAGCCGCTTGTAGAATTCAATGCCTGCAAAAAGCAAGCGAATCTGTTCATCCCAAGAAAATGTTCTTTCACCTTTTCGCCTACTTTTCGTAACGCATTCTTACAATCTCTCAATATCTCAAAATGAACTCACTGTTAAGTAGAAGAATAGTTAATGATGCGAAGTTTGTAAGCAAAATCAATAGTCCTCAACTGCTAAAATTCCTTAATTTCCGTGTTCCTTCACGAATTCCTCGCAAAGCCATCACACCGCTTTGTCCTCCATTACGAAGAACAGTTTTAGGTCGTAACGTAACTCTCCTTTTGCAAATTTTTGTAAAATTATCAACGACTACAGTGATCGCATTGATTTTCAATATGACTCTTTAGAAAAAATAAAAAAATTATGTATAGCTCTTTGTCTAGTTAGCCAATAACAATATTAATCAGTAATCGTAAAAAAAGTTGTTTTGTTGATTACCCGTGCACAGTCTACTATTAAATTTAGTTAAGTCGTTTAATTTATTTTTGATTTAATTTTATAGTTTTATTTGTACAT